GCCTGATATCGATGGTCACCAATGGCGAACATCTGACCGGTTCGCAGTTCTTCTTTACCCTCTCCCACTCACTGGACTACCTCGACGCTCTTCACACCGTCTTCGGCGAGGTGGTCGAGGGCCAGGACGTGCTGACGAGGCTCAATGAGACGATCACCGACGAGGCCCACCGGCCCTACCAGGACATCCTGGTGACGCACACCGTCGTCCTCGAGGACCCTTTCCCGCCGATCAAGGGACTACGATTGCCTTCCGCCTCTCCGGAGTACAACTTCGAAGAGCTGCTGAAGAGCTCGGCCAGCGACCGCATCGGCATCGGCGAGACGCTCGTCGACGATGACCTCCCCCCGGAGAAGCTCGAGGAGCAGCTGAAGGACAAGGACGCCAAGCAGCGGGCGCTGGTCCTCGAGATGATCGGCGACCTGCCCGACGCGGACGTCGCCCCGCCGGAGAACGTCCTCTTCATCTGCAAGCTCAATCCAGTCACCAGGGAGGAGGACCTCGAGGTGATCTTCAGCCGCTTCGGGGCGATTGTCAGCTGCGAAATTATCACCGACGAGCGCACCGGGGAGAGCCTTCAGTACGGCTTCATCGAGTTTGAGCGACCGGAGGACTGCGAGAAGGCCTACTTCAAGATGGACAACGTTCTGATTGATGACCGGCGCATTCACGTCGACTTCAGCCAGTCGGTGTCAAAGTTGAAATGGTAAGGGAGAGTTTTGGAGTTTTGGTTTTGGAGAAATAGAACTCGCTAACCCCTTTTGTTTACACTTTGTTTCCACCATAGGAAAGGCAAAGGCCGCGGCGTCACCTACGTCAACGACGAGAATGAGCAGGCGAATGAGCGCTCGGCGGCGAACTATGTTCGCTCTATGGGAGCTAGTGTTGGCGGCGGTAAAGGTCGAGGACCTCCTCTACAAACTTCTTCTTCTTCGGGAAATGGTCGTCGAAGAGATCATTATCATCACCCTCAGCCTCAGCAGCAGCAGCAACCTCGAAGAGATGATCGAGGTAGAGAGGATAACCATCAGCATCGAAGTCGACGGTCACCACCACCAACTTCTTCATCATCATCTTCTAAAGATCGTAAAAGAGAAAGAGGTTGTGATGATCACCACCACTCTCAACGACGGGAAAAGCGCTCTCGAAGTCGTGAGGACTACCATCAACATCATCATCGCAGCAGTCGAGATGAAGGGGGTAAGTCCTCAAAGTATTCTTCATCCTCATCCTCTTCGAAACATTCTCGAACTACCAGTGAGCGAGATCGTTCTTCTCGAGACGATCGTCGAGGTGATCGAGATCGAGCTGATCATCGAGGTGATCATCATAAGTCATCTCACTCTTCTAAATCTCACCATCATTCTCGACGCTGAAGTCGACGCATTCCGAGAGCTGAAAGCAAATTCTCATCTCATTCTTTTGACACTTTTAATTGTTTCCAAACACACACACACACAATTGCCACACGTGTAAAGTATTTCTCAAAGCAAAGCAAAGCAAAGCGCCACACTCAAACAACGGACTTGTTATTCTTGGCCTCTAAAGTATCTTCAGCAGTCTCCTCTTCCAGCGTCGAAGTGAGCTCCTGGATGATAATCGCCGGTTTCTTTGCCGTGTTCTTCTCTTCAACATCTTTCGAGTCGTCGACATTGTCGATGATGATCACCGGCTGCTTCTTTTTAGAGGTTTTTGGAGGTGGAAGTTCTTTTTCCTCCTCCTCCTCCTCCTTGATTTTAGCCTCAAAGCGAGGCGTCGGCATGATGGTCGCTGTGGAGGAAGAGGAGGTGGTGTTGGGAGTTTTCGAAGACGTCCTTTTGGGAGATAGCTTTGAAGGTCCCGGAGTTCTCCACTTGCCGAAGAAGAATCTCGCTCTTTTGGGAGTTTTTCCCTTTCCCTTTAAGTTCACCAAATTTTCACCATCTTCTTCCTCCTCCAAACTATGAACTCCACAGCAACAGTAGCAGAGGAGGATGATGGCCACTGAGAGGGTGAAGACGGTGAAGGACCACAGAAGGACCCAAAGGAGAGGATCAAATTGGCCATCATCATCAGGCGAGCCGATGTAGTTTCGATCACAACGATCTCTATCGTTTTCAACAAAAGTAACATTTTTACCTTTTTTTTCTAGAAAAGGACACCGAAAGAAGTGCTCATAGGGAATGTTGATCCGTTGCAAAATTTGTGGTTCAGTACTTCGCTGGAGTTTTTTGAGCTCCACCGGAAAGTGCTCGACGATGTACACGCAGCGGCGGAAGTGGTCAAAGAGGAAGAGTGTGTTATTGTGTGGCTGCAGGAAGGCGGCCGGAAGTTGGTGAAAGAGGTCGTGGTTTTCCCCTTGAACTTCTAGAACCGGAGCCAAAGCTACCTCAAAAGGATTTGAAGTTCTTTGGAGGTAAAACGAAGAAGAGGAGCTGATGTCTTTTGAAGCATCAAAGCTCACATTGCCAAGGTCGTCGAGCTCAAGGTCAGAGATGATGTATGACCCGAGGTTTAGGCTGTTGAACTGCTGACCTTCCTTCGATGAGGTAATGAGGTATCCTCGAGTTTGGCTGCCATTTTGGAAAAAGGCTGTTGAAAAGTCGGGATGAATTCGAGAAGGGTTAACTTCCGGTTCTTTCTGGCCGCTCCAGAACTTGTACTCGTTCGCCTCGGTGTACAGGTGAAGGACACTTGAAGGTGAGGATTTTTTAGATTTTTTTGGCGGGAGTTCAAAGTTGTACAGCAGAACCGGCTGACAGCCGTCCAGGTGATCAGTTCGCCCAAAGAGAAGGCTGTGGTCGAACCAGAACTTCTTTTGGGGTGACAGTAGCAGGAGCTGGCCCAGGGCGAGGCTCACCTCGTAGATTAGGTCTGATTCGAGGAGAAGCAGCCCCAAAGAGGAGGGTGAGGGGGTGATGGAGAAGATTCGAATGGCCGNTGAGGGGGTGATGGAGAAGATTCGAATGGCCGAGGAGGAGGATGATGAGGACCGGTTTGGATTGGCGAAGAGTTTATCGCAGAGGTGAACTCCACCGCCGCTGAGCAGTTTGCAGTTTGGTTCGGCTTTGGTGGAGTTTATTGATAAGAAGATGATGATGGAAAGGAAGGTGCAAGAGAGGAAGCTTTTTTGAGGTGTCATCGTTGAAGTTGGATTAGATTTAGAAGATTCATCAGTTTTTTGACAAGTTTTTTAGGCGACTTTAAAGTTCTAAATTTTTTTCTGTTTTCGAAATTCGAAACATTTTGGTAGAAAACGTCTTAAAACGGCCCAGTTGTGCTTTGTGCTTCTTCTGTTGTGCAAACAAACTCCTGTCATGTCTGAAGATTTTACCACTCCTCCACAACCACAACCTCCCCCATCACCACCTCCATCATTATCACCACCTTCATTATCACCTCCATCACCACTTCCATCACCCCCGCCGTACAACGACCTTCCCTCAATCTTGATCTCCTTCATCCTCGTCCTTCTCTACCTCCTGACGGTGGTCCTGGTGACGGCGTATTTCGTCTTGAAGAGAAGAAGAAGAAGAGGAGATACTAATGATGATAAGAAGAAGAGGAGGAAGAAGATGTCCATCAAGAACAACAACAATAATAAAGTCCAGCCATCTTTACCTTCTTTTTTTGGCCGTACGACGACGACGAACGCGACGACATTGACTTTCAAATCAACAGATGGCGGTGCGAGAGGCGGTGCACTGATTCGAGAGCTTATCAGCAGCAGCAGCGGCCACAAAGTAGCCGCCGATTTGGATAAAAGGAGCAACAGCGCCAGCAACAGCGGCAGTAGTAGTAGCAACAGCAGCGGCAGCAGTAGCAGCAGCAGCAGTAGCAGTTCATCATCATCATCTTCATCTTCCTCGAAGTTGTCTGAGAAAGAAGTACTCCCTGCAAAGACTTCTCACCCCACTTTTTCGGTACTTCCTGTAGGCACTGCTCAATAAAGATCTCTCATTGTTGTCTCAAGACTTTTTCTTCTTCTTCTTTTTAACCATT